CATTAGGCGAATCAGTCATTCTTCTACTACGGCGATGAGGCACTTCAGCCTGTTCATCCACTTTTCCCATATTACAAGACAGTGCTCCAGCTGACTCAAGCCGTCTGCCTGCGCTTAGCTTACGGGGTCTTCCTCTAGGACGCTTAGCTATTTCAGCCACTACATCCTTCTTGGATGAACCACCAAGAAGTACTTCGCTCGATTCATCCGTTTTCCGAATACGGTGTGGTGCTAAACCAACCAGTTCATTCGCTTTCATAATGCGACAAGAAGATGCTTCACTCGATTCATCCGCTTCCCCGGCGCGACGAGGTGCTAATCCAGTCAGTTCATCCTTTTTCATCACACGACGAGGAGGTAATTCACTCGATTCACTCGCTTTCCGAGTATGACGAGGTGCTATTCCAATTGGTTCATCCGTTTTCATCATGCTACGAGTGGCCATTTTATTCGGCTCATGCGGCACTACTTCAGCAGGTTTAATGCTTCTTGCTGCACGACGACGAGCTACTTCAAGCGAATCATTTATTTTACTTGCAATACGAGAAACTGTTCCAACCGAATCATTCCTTGGCCTCCCACGACGAGTAACTACACCAACTGCTGCTGTATCCAATTTGCCCATTCGATGATGAACAGCTGCCTCAGACGATTCGTCCTCTTTCTTCACACGACGCAATGCTACATCGGAAGGTTTATCCTTCATCTCGGCACGGCGAGGCGCTACTGCAGCTGACTTGTCTTCTTCCAACGAATAGTGACGTGCCACTCTATGAAAGTTGTCTTTTTCTTTTCGCCCTAGACGACCTGCGACTACAGGCGATATATGCCTTTTCCGTCCACGACGACGCGCTTCTCCAGGTGAATTATCATTTTTCTCTGGACGACGAAAAGTTCCTCCAAGAGATTCGCCCTTCTCCGTCACAAGACCAGGTGCTGCTTCTAATGATTTCTTCCTTTTCCTCACATGATGAGGTGTTGCTTCAGACGAATCATCCGTTCTCGCAGAATGACGATATGTTCCACTTGAAATACTCGTTTTTCTCATACGACGAGCAGTTTCTTCACTGGATTTAACCATGCCCGTCATCTGAAAAAACCGATGATCATTTGGAAGAACATCCCCAGCAAAATAAAACAAATACAGTGAGACTCGAAAAATGCTAGACGAAATAATAAGACAGATATTCTTCCTAACTTTCTTGCATTCAAAAAAATTAAAAAAAAAACGTTTAAACCTTATCAATTTTATAGAAAAGCAGAATAACTCCTTAAAAAAAACGATACCAAAAATTAAAAAATATCGGTTCCACTAAGGGCTTGTTCAGGTTAGGAATTTAACAAGACAGAATGTGCCATGCAAGGTAGGCGTCAACAGGTTGTAGCGCTTTTTTGTCAACGTCCGATTTGACAATGAAAAATGAAAGAAATAAAACTGGAGATAAATGACAACCATGGAATGTTAACTATGCACTGAACGGCCGTCAGTGAGAAGAATGGGCTCAGCTGAAGGTTATATAAAGCTTGTGAGTATATTAGGCTCCGACTCGACAAGGGCAAAAACTTTACCCGCTGCATCTTTCCGATAGCAAGGAGCAGCATAACGGTGCTGCAGCAGCTCCCTAAAGGCGTCTAGCCACAAAAAATTTTCCTGAAGCGCAGTAGCACTGAACAATTTGGCGCAACCAAAGAGTCAACGTATAGAATTAATACAAAGATGGATTCGCGTTATCTACAGCTCAAAACAACTAATAGAGCCACATAGCCATAAACTTCGGTCAAACAGCCAGCTAACTGAACGGGAAGCAGTAGCTGTGAAATTATAGGAAAAAAAAGCACTTAAATCACCACAGCTGCTTTACTAAAACCTCAGTAACAGAAATACCATTGCGCATTATCAGTGACCGATGCAATTGTTCTCTGTGGGACGTGGTAAACTTCGAATGAGCAGCTCTTAATAAAGATAACAATCAAAACCAGAAAATCAACATCCATTTATCTGAGTGAAAGATGGAGGCACTGAGAAGCAGGCGAATGGCAGAAAATATCAGCAGCATTCATTCACTGTTAAAATTGTCAGTGGACCCGCTATAGAGGGCTGCTCCGAAGCAAATTGATAAAAACAGGATGATAATAACCAAAAAGCCAAAGCCTTGTCTGTATTTGCTCTTTGCAACAAGCGGGGACACTCGGATAATGACAGTCTCCAACTTTATTATTATTTATTCAACTTATAAACCAGGTTCCAGCATAGTGGTATTGAAGATGTGAATACAAGACAAATTAAGGGTGCTGGTTATGCATGGCAATTGGCGGCTCTTTGATGCGCAGTTTCCGCAGATGAAACGGAAGTCTGGAACATAGTGCAACACCGGTGAAGGGAGCATGAGAAGCTGAGGGACAAGACTATAATTTACAGATAATTCGTATTTTCAAATTTGTGCAGTGTTCTCTGTGAACAGTTAATCTCAATAACCGGCCAACGCACCGACTGCCGGTGCGAAGATGTACTTTTTGCATACCCGCAGTTTTTGTCACTACCGGCACCGGTTTTTCCGGCAAATGCTTCTAGCTAAAAGAACTGAGACTGGCCGCCAGAAATGTCAGGAAACACTCCCTTAAGATTTTAGCTTTCTAGTTTTCCTGGTTCCCGAGTTATTAACTTACCCACGCGAAAATTCCACGGGTTCGTACATAGGAACCACGCAAACCCGGGGGCTAGGTTTGAACTCATTAGGACCTATGTGGACGGGGAATATCCCTTTAAAATCCCATTCTTCTAGCTTCTCAGGTTCCCGAATTAGAAACTTACCCGAAAAAAACTTTGGCGAGCTCGTACGTGGGTACCTCGCATACTCGAGGACTGGTTTGAAGCCCATTAAGACTTACATAGACAGGGGACATTTCCGTAAAATTTCAGCTTTCTAGCTTTCTGATTCCCGAGCTAGCGACTTACCCGCAAAAAACTTTCACGGGCCTGTACGTGGGAGCCACGCGGGTAAGACCATTTTGGAGGTGGAAGCCCGTAGATGCATGTAGATTAAGTTCCCGAAATTTCAGTCCTGTAGTTTTTGTAAGTCTCGAGATAAAAAATCGGTACAAACACCCGGCGCACAAACAGACACAGACACACAGAAAACCTCGCGTCAAAGTGCGTTTTCTACATTGCATAGATGCAAAAAACGCATAAAAATACTCTAACTAACAAAATAGCTAAAAAATGTCGGAGGAAATAACCTCCTTCTCCTCACCCTCCCCCTCCCCCCTCCCGTCCACCCAAAAAAAACTTGAGAACGTTTAGCTTATAAGGCGTAGGAGATGCAAAAACAGTCACCTCGTTTTCGATCAAAATTAATCCAGCAAGGAGGTGCACATAACAATTCAGAGGAGGCAGGGGTACATTCATTGCCTGGCAAACCTCCGCTGGCTTCTTGTGCTCCATGAAAACTTTTAGGACCGCTTTATGCATTGCGGCGAAATCGCCTTGATAGTTGAATTCATGCAGCAGCTAAAATGATATGGTGCATGAATTTCTATGGCAGAAAAAAAAGCCAAGTGAACATCTGAAGTGATCGGAAGCACGTGCGTTCGAATTGTGACGCATGTGAAAATTCAACTGATGCTTAAGCGATGAAATTACGGCAAACCAGTCGTTACCGGTGCGGCCAGTACTCAGACAAATGAACTCATGGACCATATGCAGCCCTACAGAGCATATCACTGAGCAAATTGTTCTGGAAAAATAACTTACACATTCAACCATTGGCCCACACATGGCAACATCTGTAACACAACGTGCAGCAGCAACACAGTTCATCGTTTCGCTGACTAGCACATCGGCCATTTGATGATCGAGATCATCCACTGCAAAATGTGTTTCTGCATACAGCCACGCATAGCGATTGAACAGAAATCGAGAACCACTTCAACTGTGTTTTGGAACAGCAGCTGCACGATAAGGTTTAGTAGCACAGAATACCTGACCAGCTTGTTCAGATAGTCTTGATATGGTTAAGCAGTGAAAAAGCATCCCTCGAGCCTTTAAATCTTTTCAGTGCTTCTAATGCTTTTTAATACTTTTGCGGCTTTCATTTACGATTCTTTGTTATTTACTAAGCTAATTACCACGTGTTCCACTAATAACACTCAAAAGGATGAAGCATACCCTGAACACACACACACACACACGCACACACACACACGCACACACACACGCACGCACACACACGCACACACACACACAAACACACACACAAAAAAAAGGTCATACTTTTGCCGTAAAATATATCAATGTCAGCATTATCCTCTCCTTCTGATTTGGGCTTGTTTCCCGTAACATCGATGGCTGGCTTGTTTTTGTGCGGCTCTCTACTCGGTTCGATTCCCGCTGTATCCGTGTTCGATTTGTTTTCGGTAGCATTCGCTCTCGTCTCACACTCCATATCTGCGTTGGGTTCGCATTTCACAATATTCGCAGGTCTGCTTTCCTTAGTAATTGTAAAAGATTGACGTTCTTTGAAATTCGCAGTTAGCTTGTCTTCCTCAGCACCTGCGTTGTGATTGATTTTCTTAGCATTTGCAACAGATTCGTCTTTCTCCGTGCTGGCGTTAGGTTCACTTCTCTCACCACTTGCGGCAGATTCTTTTTTCGCACTGTTATTCATGCGGCGCGATTTTGGGAACGGATCATCAGGCAAACCGAGGACATCACGGATAATTCGCACATATTTCAGAACTGTTTGCCCCGTCAGACCGGTAGCTCGACCAGCATCAGCTCCAGAAAACTTGTCGTATATGACCCTGCAAAAACTGCCAACGCGATAACAACTCCTACAGCTCAACTAACGCGAAACATAGAACTCAAAGACGAAGACGCAGAAACAGCCTGCTCTACTTTACCTAAAACTGCACGCCATTAGCTTGTTCCTGAGCAACTCTTA